GCAACGAAGCAATCTCTGAAATGGTGAAAGCCAACCTGGAAGTCGAAAATGAACCTGATGTTGTGAAATTGGTCGCCAAAGGAACCGACACCAGTAACATGACCTTTATTTCATTCAAAGTCGTTCTAGACCCAGCTTTGAAGAAGAGAGCTTTGGATCAGTCATCTTGGCCCGAAGGAGTTCTATTCCGTGAATTCGAAGATCACTCGGCTCAAAAATTTCGGAGACCATCTGGTGTGAATCTAACACCCACGCCAGTGACACCGCAGACGACGTTTGCAGCAAATCAACCGATGGATGCACCCCGGGACGCGCAAAAATAAGCATTTTGGAAGCCTCTTATCCACTCAGCACAGTCGCGCCGATAAATGGTGAATGCAGTCGAAGTCGTCCCGGCCCTGTGTCTGATGTGCGAGAAGAGGTCTTCCAGCTTGCTTGTCTAGGCAAGTATCAACATAATTTTCATAATTTCCTGCCTGATGATGATTCCCTCCTCAGATCACCAACTTGTTCTGCCGGGAGTACCTCCAGCCAACATGGACATCGCCTTGAACGTCCCTACCTATGTCGGGACGCGCCGAAAATTCCTACACGCCGGCATCTCGTGACAACAGTTGTGGAATTGCTGGTGACAACGATGTTTGGCTTTACTTCCAAAACGTACGTGGTCTAAGAACCAAAATTGACGACCTGGTTGTAGCGGTATGTGATTGCAATTACGATGCCATCATATTGATAGAAACGGGCCTTGACGACAGCATCAACTCACTGCAACTTTTTGGTACTGACTTTAATGTATTTCGCTGCGATCGCAGTGCTCGTAATAGCCAGAAAGCGAAGTTTGGAGGAGTGCTTATTGCCGTGGCCAGCGTTTACAAGTCTGTTGAGATAAAGACTATTAATGGTAGTAACCTGGAACAAGTAAGTGTGTCTGCCTGTATTCGCGGAAAGCGGTTCGTGCTTTGCGCTGTATATATTCCTCCAGATCGTAGTCGGGACGTAGGTGTTATCGATGCCCATTTAGCTACTCTTCGTGAATTACGTGATGCAACTCCAGATGGTGACCTTTTGCTTGCTTGTGGTGACTACAATCAACCACACATAGCATGGGATTGTCTTGATGATGGAATCTTAAACCTTGATCCTTCCACGACGTCTGCTGCCAGTGCTGCTCTGATGGATGGAACGAGCTTCCTGAATATCCGGCAATACAACTCTATTCGCAATCACCTGGGGCGCATCCTAGATTTGGTTTTCTGTGATTCCGATTGCAACATTGTAGTTAACGAAGCGGTATCCCCATTGCTGGCTATTGATTTGCATCATCCACCGATTTTGTTCTCCTTACCAACTCAATCCGATTGTGTTGACCATGTGGAATCCCTTGATGCTGGTGAACATACGCTCGACTACTCAAAAATCGACTTCGTCATGCTCAACGAGTTCCTGATGAGCTGTGATTGGAGCAGTATTCTGGCAACAAATGACGTCAACGATATGGCAGCACAATTTTGCAACATAATTTGCAATTGGCTCACCGATAACACTCCAAGACGAAAACCTCCTATATCTCCTACTTGGAGTTCTCCTCTCCTGCGGCTTTTGAAACGCGATAAAAATTCCTGGCAGCGTAAACTTCGCCGACATCGAACTTCTGAAACGAAACGCAACTTTCATCGCGCTTGCAACGCCTATCGTAAGCTTAATTCAACCCTATACAAGTCATATGTCTTGCGTGTCCAGACCAATTTACGTAGAAATCCCAAGAGCTTCTGGAAGTTTGTGAACTCCAAGCGAAAATCGTCGAATATTCCTTCATCCGTATTTTTTGGCGATTTGGAGTCTACTTCTATGCTCGAATCGTGTGATCTATTTTCCCGCCACTTCAGTTCTGTTTTTTCGGATTCAGCCGCCAACGCAGTTGAAGTAGAAAGAGCGGCTTGCAATGTTCCTGAGGGTCTCATCGATTTGCGTACATTTGTGGTTAGCAATATGTATGTCGTTAAAGCTGTTAGGAAGTTGAAGAAATCTGTTTCACCGGGTCCTGATGGTGTACCTGCAATCATTTTTTGCCGCTGTGTTGCTGTTTTAGCTGATCCCCTAGCTCGCATCTTTACCGCTTCGTTGCACCAAGGAGTTTTCCCCGAAATATGGAGACATTCCTTTATGTTCCCTGTCCATAAGAAGGGCGACAAACGTGACGTGACAAATTATCGTGGCATAACAAGTCTATCTGCAGCTTCAAAATTATTCGAGATCATTGTGAACGATGCTATCTTCTTTCATGTCAAGAGCTACATTTCAGCAACGCAACACGGATTTATGCCAGGACGCTCAGTTACATCAAATTTGCTGGAGTTCACCTCAACATGTATAAATCACTTGGAAAATAGGGCTCAAGTTGATACCGTTTATACCGATCTGAAAGCGGCATTCGATTGCATCGATCATGGTATTCTTCTTCGGAAAATGTCTCGCCTGGGAATTTCGGATGGTTTGGTTGATTGGCTGAAATCATATCTTTCCAACAGAACACTTCGTGTCAAGCTGGGCTCGTGCACTTCATCACCATTTGCTGCAACCTCCGGTGTTCCCCAGGGCAGCAATTTAGGTCCATTGCTGTTCACAATCTTCTTCAACGATGTGACGCTCCTCTTGCCGAGTGGTTGTGTGCTCATATACGCCGATGATCTCAAACTATACATTGTTGTCAAGAACGCCGAGGATTGCCGTCAGCTCCAAGCAATGTTAGACCCATTTGTTGATTGGTGCCGCTTAAACTCAATTGATGGATTTGTACTAGAAAGAGTAGAACAAGTAAGCGACCTAGGTGTAATGCTGGACCCTAAACTTACGTTTAACTTACACCGTTCAATGGTAATCACTAAGGCTAATCGTCAGCTTGGTTTTATATCAAGAATCTCAAGAGATTTTTCGGATCCGTACTGTTTAAAAGCACTGTACTGTTAACTCGTTCGTCCGATTATCGAGACTGCATCTGTTGTTTGGACTCCCTACCAACTTTCCTGGAACATCAGAATAGAACGTATCCAAAAAACATTCATTCGTCGAGCATTAAGACAACTTCCTTGGAGAGATCCACTAAACTTACCTCCGTATGCTGAGAGATGTCGCTTGCTAAGCATGGACACGTTACAACGACGGCGACAAATTCAACAGGCAACATTCGTCGCGAAGTTATTAAGTGGTGAAATTGACTATACCCACTTACTCTCTTGCTTGAACTTTCGTGCGCCAAGCAGATTTCTACGCTCAACGTTCCTATTGCGTCAAGACTCACACCGCTCTTCTTTTGGACAACATGAACCTGTTACGAGTATGATTCGCACGTTTTCTACAGTTGAAGAGTTGTTCGAGTTTGGGGAACCTGCTGCTCAATTCCAGAGACGTATTATTAACTCCAGATACATTTAGTATTTGTTATGGCTTCTGGTTCATTAAGACTTATTGTCAGATGGATGTATTAAATAAAAATAAATAAATAAATTTAGGAAGAACTGGTATTTTTTCATGGAAAGAAAAACTTCCAAGAGATTTTTAATGTTTATAAAATATAATAATACATAAGATAATATGTAAAAATATGAGAAAGAAGTGCAGCTTTTAAAATATGGAAAAAGTAATCTCATGAATTATTTTAATCCTGGTAATGCAAATAATGTACAATGTAAACCGTAAATCAAAGAACAAAGTAAATATCAGAAGAAATTTGAAAAAAAAATGATTTTATGTGGAAAAATATCGTTCGGCGAAATTACCCATTCGGTGATTTTTTTTTACCGCGAAATGACCTGTTGCAATTTCACTAAATATCACTAAATCTCCACCTCGCCTCGCTGAATGCCACTGGAAGTTAATGTAGAAAACGTTTTGGTTGCCAAAAATTAAAGTAGATAATCTTTTGACGCTTCAGGATGATATCAACATGCTTTTTCCTTGTGATACTGTCTGTGGTGGTCGCAGCACATGCTGGAGGTCACCATATTTGCATTAAATTTTCATTTTGCAAACAAGCAAACAGGCTAAACCAGCTCAACATCTCGCACGTAGTTTCCTCCACAGACACCCACCGGTTCTCCTCTGAAGCCATCCTCTGCTAAGAAGAGGGGACATGAGGAGAGAATTTCAACACTCCACTTGACCCTGCAAACCGTCCAAATATGATCCTGTTCGCTCGTCGTCCTCTTCGTTGGCATTGCTTGACTGTGGCTTCGATTTGTCGAAGCTTAAAGTCAAATCCAAAGCCCCAGAAAAACTCGTCGAAATCCTCCCGAAGCAAAGGGGGAATATTCTAATCAAATTTCATATGGTTTTTTATACACGGATTTGTGTGCAAATTTTCCTCCTCCGGCCTGGAGTCGGCTCATCTTTCGCTTCAGCTAAAGATGCTAGGAAAATCTTTTCCAATAGTTTGTTTCATCGTTCGTTCGTGGCAAAACAAAGAAGCCACGCTCCAATCGAATAAGTGGGAAAGCCTTAGCACCAGCTGATATTCAAAGTTTGCTAAAATATTGGCCCGAAATTCGAACGATATGGAAATTTTCTCCGAAGAGGGGAAGGGGAACTGCTCCCCTTTGACCGGGTGCCACTTGGCTGCCATCCGGCCGGTGGTGGAATTTAAAGAATAATAAGAGTGGCCGGATTGGATCCTGAACGGGTGATGGTACGATTTTGGTTAGATCAGAGTCCTTGCAGGGCAAATCTCAGAGCACGGGAGACTGCTATAAAGTGCTAAACGTCTTTAATATCAATCGGATTCCGGTGATCGGATTTCTGCTTGAGGGAAACAAAACCCCGCAAGTTAAACCAAGGAGAAGCGTGAAATCGAATCAACCTAACGAGGGTGATTGAAATTAGACATGTTTTAAGCGTAATAGAATATTTGAAAAATTTAAATAAGTTTCCGGTTATCGCTTTTAAGTTTTCCGAACCGACACGTTAAAATGGCTCTAATTATCTTCATTCTTCTTCCATTTCAGAGAAAGACCCCTACCCGGTGGATGCACTGCCCACGTGTAATCACGCGCTATCCGTCTGTCAGCAGGAGCGAAAGTGCATCAAACTGTTCGATGATTTCAAAACGCACTGCAAGGTGCGGGAAAACAAGTGCCGGATGGAAGATAGGTACGGGTATTCAGTTGTGAATCAGTTTTCTACAAGAAGCTCAAGAAGAATCCGCGTGTGAAAAGTTCCGTCGTACTGTGGTGATGGTGGTCAACGTTCGTTCTGCAGCGGTGGAGAATGATTTAATTTGCAAAAAACTTCCCTCCAACACAGCGCCGAGTAAATCGCTTCTTAAGCCCCCACAGACTATAGCCCGATTATGGAGTGTGGGGCATGCAAATTCTCATCAATTTGGGCACCCCATCCCTTCCGAACCGTTTTCATTCGGTGGAAAATCGATTAAATTTTAATCACAAAATAGCCAACCACCAGCAAATGCCGCAATGGTTTTGGGTCGAATCGCTTGGTGAGTTGCACCGGAGATAGCCGATAATGCCGGCGCCCTGTCTGCCCATTTCCCACCACATCTCTCGTTTCAATTTGTTCGGGTGGATTTCGATACTGACACTGGATGCTCACGTTGTCCCTATCGGAGAGTCAATGGTGACGGTGGGAGAACCGGCTCATCATTAAGCACTTGATCTCTCGTAGGGGAAGGAATAGACATGGGTGGAAGCCAGGAGTAACCGCATTTACTTTTGCCCTTGAGCGTGAAATTTAACGCCAATCACACGGCAAACATCGGATCCACCAACCCCGTTGGGTTTTCCATCGCACCGAACCGATGAAAGGCATGCAGACGAGTGAGGAAAGTGTGGGTTTCGGTGGAATTATCCGTAATTAATATCGATTTTAATCCTTTTATGTTTGATCGATCAGACGGCCATAAATCATCGAGATGGGCTGCGAGGTAGAGCTTTCCGGTGCCGAAGTTTCATCGGCTTTGCTAAGAATGAGGTAAAACGAACGTAGGATGCTGAAAATAAGCTTCTTGTCGATGGTGAATTATCCTATAGGTGGGCAAGGGAATCAAGTAGATAATTGAGAGAACTGGTTAACAGCGCTTGATGATGTGGCAATAGTAATGGATTGATCTAATCATTTTACGAAGTGGGTTAGAGCAACCCACTTTTCTTGGTAGTGCTCAATATTTGACTAGGAAGTTCTGAGGATTTTCCTAAAAGTCCTTTGCACTAAGCCGAAAAATCCTTAGGGCATGACCTACAAGATTAGAGCGTCGTGAACATATTCTGTAAGTTCGTAAACATGCTCTGGACTGATACTGAAAACTCTCTAGAACTGTTATGAGCCCTCTAGACTTGCTCTGAGCTTGTCCTAGAGTGTTTATTTTCTTTAAACTTACATTAGAAATACTCTCTAATTCTCACAGAAGTCTGCTTGACTTGTCGTGAATGTATTGTAGCTTTGATCTGAAGAACTCTGAGCTTTTTGAAATTGTTATTTTTAACTAATTTAGAAAGTCCTAACTTTTTGAACTTTTACTGGAAGTCTTTTTTTACTTATCCTGGAGGCTTCATTGACTTGACTTGTTCTTAAGGTTCTTTGAACTTACAGTTCTCAGAACTAACCACCCCACAAAGACCACTCGACTTTTTCTGGATGCTCTCTAAATTTACCGGTGTCTGCCCAAGTAACAATTTTGGTTTTATGAGGGTTCTGTAGACCATGATTTAGACTTGTAGAATGCTATAAAACTGCGATAAAACCTGCAATGTTACTTGGGTGGCCATTTGTTCCATGAATTTCAATAACATTTATAGAACTTCACTGATAATTTTGGAACCGCTTAAATTATATGGATTAATAATTTCAGAAAAATTAACTTCAGGAATGTCCTGATAATTTCAATGAACACCAAGAAAGCTTCAAAAAATGTTGGAAAACTTCTCAGAAGTCCAGCAAATTTCAAAGAAGCTCCGAGCATTCCAGTAAAATTACGGCCACTAAAGAGAAGTTCCGAGAGTTCCAGAAAATTAACGGGAGCGTCAGAAGAGATTCATGAATATTGGGAAAATCGAGACCACTTACGAGAAGGTTCGAGGACATCTAGTAAATTAGTGAAATTTCAAAAAAAAATCAAGGAAATTCAAGAAAGTGTGGAAAATTCCGTTACCGTACTTCAGGGACGATCAAAGAACTTCAAGCAAGTACTATTAACCAATTGAGGAAGCTTTTAACCTTTGCGTGTCTAACGTCTAAATTTGCATAGATTTCAAAATACAATTAGCTCTCAAAGATAATTTCTCAATCTTTTTCTTCACAATAAATTGCATTTTGTAGGGAATTTATTGAAGTTTTTGAATCCATCTGAAAACATTTGGATCAATACATGGTTCTGAAGTTGTTCCGGTTCCCGTTGGGGTCACTTTTGGTCGGCATTCGGCTTTACTGTTCTGTAATAAGTATACACACGATGAACGTTATGTTTTCTCTCTCAAATAATGTAATTGGACCAATGGCCGCTATACCGACGGTCCACAATCACATTTGGAAGTCCGGAAATGTTCCGGTGCCCCGGGGGAGTGGCCAATTCTCAACTGGAACTAAAACCTATCGTGCGACATATCAAACTTCATGATTTTACAAATCTTGGCCGGTAATGGCCTTAATGAGAGTTGACGGTCACACTAGCCCTCCCGGGCATGTTCCGGTGCCCCCGGGGAAGTGGTCAATGCTCGACAAGAATCAAAACCCATCGTGCGACATATCAAACTTCATGATTTTACATATCTTGGCCGGTAATGGCCTTATTGAGAGTTCACGGTCGCATTAGACCTCCCGGGCATGTTCCGGTGCCCCAGAGGAAGTGGTCAATGCTCGTCAAGAACCAAAACCCATCGTGCGACACATTAAAATTCATGATTTTACAAATATTGGCCGGCAATGGCCTTATTGAGAGACCACGGTCACATTAGACCTCCCGGGCATGTTCCGGTGCCCCCGGGGAAGTGGTCAATGCTTAACAAGAACCAAAACCCATCGTGCGACATATCAAACTTCATGAGTTTACAAATCTTAGCCGGTAATGGCCTTATTGAGAGTCCACGGTCACATTAGACCTCCCGGGCATGTTCCGGTGCCCCGGGGAAGTGGTCAATGCTCATCAAGAACGAAAACCCATCATGAGACATATCAAACTTCAGAATTTTACAAATATTGGCCGGTAATGGCCCTATTGAGAGTCCACGGTCACATTAGAACTCCCGGGCATGTTCCGGTGCCCACGGGGAAGTGGTCAATGCTCGACAAGAACCAAAACCCATCGTGCGACATATCAAACTTCATGAGTTTACAAATCTTAGCCGGTAATGGCCTTATTGACAGCCCACGGTCACATTATACCTCCCGGGCATGTTCCGATGCCCCCGGGGAAGTGGTCAATGCTCATAAAGAACCAAAACCTATCGTGCGACATATCAAACTTCATGAGTTTACAAATCTTAGCCGGTAATGGCCTTATTGAGAGTCCACGGTCACATTATACCTCCCAGGCATGTTCCGGTGCCCCCGGGGAAGTGGTCAATGCTCGACAAGAGCCAAAACCCATCGTGAGACATATCAAACTTCAGAATTTTACAAATATTGGCCGGTAATGGCCTTACTGAGAGTCCACGGTCACATTAGACCTCCCGGGCATGTTCCAGTGCCCCAGGGGAAGTGGTCAATGCTCGACAAGAACCAAAACCCATCGTGCGACATATCAAACATCATGAGTTTACAAATCTTAGGCGGTAATGGCCTTATTGAGAGTCCACGGTCACATTAGACCTCACGGGCATGTTCCGGTGCCCCCGGGGAAGTGGCATATTTTCAACAAGAACCAAAACCCATCGTGCGACATATCAGGATTTTACAAATATTGGCCGGTAATGGCCTTATTAAGGGTCCACGGTCTCACTAGCCCTCTCGGGAATATTCCGGTACCCCCGGGGAGGTGGCCAATTCTCAACAAGAGCCAAAACCCATCGTGCGACATATCAAACTTCATGATTTTACAAATCTAGGCCCGTAATGGTATTATTAATTACCTTTGTGGACTAATAGAAGGAGGAGGACATTTATTGTTTGTCATCTTGGCGCTTTCATGTTGCAAGCATGTGATATCAATTACGCAAGGTCTGCCGGTAAAAAAAAGAACGGTACAGGTACAATGAAATGTAATGTAGCCATACAATATAAGGCCGGAACAAATCACAAGTTTTTCTTTTGTCACTCGAGGCTCGCACCAGTCGAGGGGGGGGGGGGAGGATAAAAAATAAACAAAAAATAAATAAAACGTTTTACATTATATCTAAACCTTATATTTCAAACGATAACATCTTTTCTTAGCCTTCGCTTTAGCCTTATTCAAGTTGGTTACCCTACTTCTTTGAAGCCGTGATTTTTTACACTAATGCCACAAATGTTGACTTTATTATGTGTAACACTCGAGTTATCAACAAGACATTTCGCGCATAAGTTTTTGTATTCTTTCAATAATGTAGATGAATAGGATCAAAGAAATTGATTTTTGGGTATTGATAAACTCCGGATAAACCATCAAGTGGAATACCACAAACTTAACAGTTCTTATGAAAAAAAAAAACGTTGTTTTCGATACTTCCTCCCTACCCAAATATAACTCAGGTTTCACAACAATTGTTTGTGCTTCAAAAAATCTAACTAGACGTATGGATTCAGGAAGGTCTATTCAACAAAATCCAAGCGTAAGATCCAAAGGAAGGAGCCAAAATCCATCTTGACTGAACATAAAAACCAAATTTTAACAAAAATACGTAGTTCTGTCAATTTAAACCTGGCTTTGTATGTGCTTAAAAAATAATCATCACATATGAATTCAGCAAGGTCAACTCTATAAAATCTAAGCATAACTTTCAAAGGACAGTATCAAAATCCAACTTAGCAGAAAAGAAAAACGAAAAAACCTTTTCGAATTACACACCCGGTTCAACCTTCACGTATGGATTCAACAAGGTCCATTCTAAAAAATACAAGCCTATTTGTCAAAGATATGAATCAAAATGCAATTTAGCAGAACTGAAAAACCTAATTTCTATGAAATAACGTATGGATTCAGCAATTCGGTAAAATCCACTCCG